TGGCTAACTCAAACTAACCTATCTGGTACTTTGAGTCATAGTCCTTAAGTTGCATTTCTGCGGTTGGATGTGTGTGTGACTTCATTTCAGAAAAGTAGTGCAGAAAGGGAAAATACCACCCAAAGTGGAAGATTCCATAAATGTCCCATTCTATGTCTATAAATAGAAAAGTCTCTTCTATACAGTGAAGTAAGAGGCTAGCAAAATAGGAAAGAAGAGGATATTACATTTCCCCAGAAGTACAGCATCCTAGATGTTTGTCTTAGAGGTGATTGAAAAGAACCTGTGTACTGCCCTGGGCCGGGAGATATGGCAGGTGTTGTTATGGTTTCCTCCTTGGTTTCTGTTTTCTAGTGGTAATGGAAATTATAGCAAGAAGGCAGCTGGCTCTGGAGACGTGCTAGTCTCTGCTAGAAAGGCTTTCTTAGGCTGAATTTTTTAATGTGAAATATAAAAAAGTTCCACCTTTAAAATTAATTTATAATAACCAACTACTTATTTTCCATTTCCATTTTATTGTGAATAATTCAATTATACAAGTAACACCAAAAATATAGTAATTTTTTGCAAAAGTTGAGCATTACTGAGAAATGTGTCAATTTCTATTCTTTTCTCCCTCTGAACACCTGATATCTTCATCAGACGCTCTTGCCTATGAATTACCAACGCAATGAGCTTAGAATCCATTTCTCCAGGATTACCCAGAGCCTTACAAAATATTTTCAGTTAAATTTCTTTTTGGTAATCAGTTTTGTTTAAATAATTTTAAGGGAAATATTAAATAATATGGGGCTATGACAATAAGTACTTCCCAATGTTGTATGTATTGATTGGTTGAGTTTGATATGTATGATTAAAATTTTCTGTTTTGTCACCTTCAGCAGTTATTTCTCTTGCTGGGACTGAGAGCACGTGGTGAAGGTGTCATTAGAACCCAGAACAAGAGAGAATCTGGCTCCATTCAGCAGCCTGGAACCCCCCTGTCAGGGCCTTCCGCCTTTAGTATTAAAGCTGTATGCTTGTTTTTTAGAGACTGGAGGATCTGAACTAGCCGATTCTTTCCCCAGTCTCCCAATCCTCATGCATACTAGACTTTACTGCAAGGTAATCCATTCCCACACAACAAATCTGGGAAATAACATACAATCCCCAAATAGCTCAGAGAACTCGGAAGTAAAGAAGCATCAAAAGCTATCAAGAGACACAGAAAACTACCCTTTAAGACTGCATCCATGTCCTACCTACCATCCCTGTCCATGCATGACCACTGGTGGCAGAGAGCCTGGCATCCCTGGGAACTCAGAAGTACAGATATGGGGAGCAGTAGGAGCCAAGGTTCAAAGGGTTATTGTTTTCAAGCTCAGCAGAAGAGAAACTCAAGTCAATCAGTTATTTACAAACAAACAGTTGAGTAGATACTAAATTTAACACATATTATCTTGTTGGTACAAGATGAGCACAGAAGCCTGGAGACTGGAGAATAGAAATGGGAAAAAATGGGAGTTTGTGAGCTAAAGCACCACTGAAAAAAATGATCAGTATTAATCATGATAAATCACTGGGTGCCTTCATTAGAGCCTGCTAAGCATCTATGTTCTGTAATTTATGTTGCAAAATGTGGAGTGCATTCTCATGATTCAATCCTCTGGTTGGACTATGGCTAGGCTAGTAAGTAGGGAAAACTGGGCTATGTAATTCAAGGAATGTTTACTAGAAATTTGTACATGTGTATATATGTATTTATGCATGCATGAATATGCATTTGTGAGTACATGTTGCACATACACATACATACACATGGTAGATAAATACATGTGCACCTGTGTCTGCATCTCATTAGCTTTGTGAATGAGATGTGTTCCTAAGAGAGGTATATTTCCAACTCAGTATGCTGACTTGAAGTTTCTCAAACTATAAGTTTTAATACAGACTCCAGATTGTGGTAAACTCATAAAAATAATAAAAACCACCTGGTCTTCCTGCTGCTATTTCTTCTTTGACATATTTTATATCTGCCATCAGAAATAACTATAACCATCACCTGGAAATCTGGGCACACTTAAAATGATCTGAGGAAAAGAAAATGATGGGCTACAAATATTCATTTTTCAAACTGACCCCAAGGAATCAGGTTAACTTGGAAGAAATATCTAGGATACTTGCTTGTCCCCAATTACCACTCCAAAGCCTCCTTGTACTTAAAGAACAGGTGATCACATTCTTTTTTTTTTTTTTTTTTGGTCGGTCATGGGGCTTGAACTCTGGGCTTAGGTGCTCTCCCTCAGCTCTTCAGCTCAAGGTAAGCACACTACCACTTGAGCCACAGCTCCACTTCCAGGTTTCTAGTGGTTTATTGGAGGTAAAGAGTCTCACGGACTTTCCTGCCCAAGCTGGCTTTGAACCATGATCCACAGATATAAGCCTCCTGAGTAGCTAGGATTACAGGCATGAACCACCGGCACCTTTTAAAAAATAGGTAACTGATAATGGAGATCTTGTAAGTATTCAATAATTCAAACTCAAGAATATGCATTGGTTGATATGCCCTTCAAAGAACTCTGCAAGTCAATAGTTTTGAGTTTAAAACTTGTGAAGGGTGGAATGCTGCAGCTTCTTCACAAGGTTTACAACATGCAAGGAAGTATGAAAGGCCAGCCCTGGAAGACAGCCATGTCTACCACTGCTGTCTCAGAGCCCAGCTTTATGCTGCTAGGCTGAGCTTCATCTGCAGTGTGGGACGGCTGTGTGGGTGTAAGTGTGGATGCCATCGTCATGTCAGCAACATGTCTACCTTGAATCATGAACAGGACTTGGGGATGTCTCCCCACCTTTGCTTCCCAGATCACCACGTGAATCATTTTACTGAGTAAACATGGAAGGAACACGGCAACTAGAGCTCACAGGCTTCAGTTCTGAAATGCAGTCTAAACACTCACAAAACCCTGGCCACGTTGTCTCAGCAGCTAATGCTTTCCACACTGTCGCTTTGTGGAACAAGCTAGAGATCATTCCGCAACTCAGGCAACGGCCTTCAGCCATCTACTGTCATTTGGAGCCATCCTGGGAAGATTTCTTAGGATCCTGTTGCCCCTTCTAAGCCAAGTACAGGCGTCCATGTGGACTTTCCTCTACCCTGAGTCAGGACAGAATCTCTGTCCCATTCTTCTTTCAATCGAATTTCTTGGTGTCATCTCCTCAAGGTTCCCTCATTGGTCCAACCAATAGAAACCTCTGCTAGCCATGAAACATAGCCATCCAAAGCACAGGGCCACAATCTCCCGGCCTCAAAACAGCTACTGAAAGCTGATGATGACAGAGTGAACATGGCTGTTTATGATCTGTCCACAGGAGCGCAACGCATGGGTAACATGGCTAATATGGACAAGATGTGCTTGCTTGATCCAACATTCCTCAGGACACCATAGTTGACATTATGGTTCATTATCACCAGACCCAGAAATAAAATACCACTTACCTACTCCATGCCATGCATCACTGTTTATAGGTTCAGTTTGTATTTAAAAAACTATTAGTCCGTGGCACAAACATTACCATTTACAATTTTAGCATGACTATTTTGACAGAAGTAATGTAAATATTCTCATGTTTTGGTTTTGAACTCTTGCTAGGAAGGCATTTTTGTGTTAGTTATTTTGGGGATGACTCTCTCATTTCTGTGTGGGCTGACCCAGACCCTGCTCCGTCTCACTACACGGACACGACTCCCACATCAGGCACTGACTGATATGGAGTCTCACCATGGTTTTTTTGTTTGTTTGTTTTTGCCTAGGATGGCAGAACTTCAGTTCTTCCAATCTTCACCTCCTTGGAAGTGGAGACTATAGAAATGAGCCACTATGCTTGCTCCCTCATATCTTTTTGGTTCTTAACAAATTGTTGACTGTGGTACATGAAATCTGCAAGTTTCTGATGAGTGATCCATTCAAGCAGAGCCATAATTCCTTAGTGACATTATAAAATATGGCTAATGCATAGGGTTAATTAAAATGATGCTGTTTATACCTGACTTAAAGAACATACATAGGATATGATGATGAAAGGCATTATGAATATTACATTACTCATTTTTAACAAAGCCCTTTTCTGTAACGTGACAGGAAAGTCATCAAGTTTTACATGAATTACAGCATCCTGTTGCTTACTATCACCTAAGCAAGACAGTAAATACAAACTAAATAAGCAGGTGAGCATAGATGAATGAAGTGCTAAAAGTGATTTGATCAACTTTCCATTAAAAAAAACTAAACTAAAAACAGACTTCATCAAAATCAGCCGCAGAGTAGGAAAGCTCTTGCTCTTAACAAAATGTGATGGTGCATTTTTATTGGAAAGAAGGATAACTATGAATAAAGTGAGCCAGTCAACATCACACTCCCCTTTTAATATTAGCATATTAAAAGGAAAATTGACATAATTTTCATAAATTTATAATTGCACCTAATGTCTGCCAGGCTTACAACTGAATAGAGGGCTGTCACAGGCCTTGGTTTGCTTTTCATCAAAACTCTAAGGAATTTGCATTTGTAAAAAGAAATTAGACTACTTTATAGAAGGTCACAGAGGTCATAGAAGTCATACAGAATGATCATTTTTAGAGCAAATGAATTTTTTATTCACATTCTCAAAAAATCTTCTTTATACCCTTTATAATACAACTGACTCTAAAAATTTTTTGAAACCCCATGTGAAATTAGTCTGTTTTCAAATTATACATTCAGCATAATAGAACTCAACTAAATTAACTGTAGTGTGGTTGACCATTTTAGACTTCAAAACAGGCTATGTTTTAAAGAAAATTTCTTTTCTTTTTTAGAATTTAAAAAGGATAAGAACACTGTAGAAGTGACTTTAAATAGAACTGGAAAATACCTTGAAAATTTGTCATGTCTTAACAAAAGATTTGGTATTACAAAGATAGAAAACTGTGGGAGAAGGAGAGATAGGTAGAAAAAAATTAAAGAAAACCAGCTCCTACTTACCAGGTGTGAAATTGTATCTAGCTGAGAATCCCATAGACTCCAGCTCTCCATCAGCAAAAAATTTAACCCACAGGAATCTTCCACTCGATTTGATGACAGGTGGGTTTTGCTGTCCACAGAATCGTCCAATTATTGGAGAAAAGCCAAAGGGTCCATCCCGAACTTCAATGTGATCAAATTTACATTCCCAGGATGGCTCAATAGAGTATTTTTCATCAAAGTAAAGTTCAATGCACTGCCTTGGGGCGGCTGTAAAAAGAGAAAGATGGTCTCTGGAAGGCCATTTCTTAAATCTTGAGGTGGGTTCTATTTCAAGTTTTATGTGTGTACCTTTTATCATACTGTGCAGTCAGTTTACATGGAGATGCAAAGAAAGGAAATGACACTACTCTATGGGATATTACCATTAAAAAAATCTTCTGGTTAGGTGATCCTTAAAGCTGGTGGTATTGCACGAAACATTACTGCGATTTAAAAAACAACTGTTTCGATACCTAACACAGAACTGACTGATACCAGATTATAAAGTAGAGAGAAACTGTTCTCTTTTACTGTATTCACAAAGCACTAGAGAACTATTCAGAATGGAAGCACACAGCCATTCATGGAGTTGCAGTCAGGTGTCCTGATTAGATGTATGTATCCATGCAAAGGTATCTTGAGTAATTTGTTCAGATGACCAATCTGATCACATCAATCTAATGGGAACATCAGCATTTCTCTATTAGCTGCTGGCCAGTGATGGGTGCACCTGACATACAAGAGCCTAGAGGGTCCTAATACCACAGACATCAAGGATGCAAGCTGTGTTCTCTAAGACCACCTGCCATGCTGGCATGCCCACTCTTGCTTGCTTCCTTGAATATCTATGTACCTTCAATTTAGCTCATCTTTATCCAGGAAGGTCTTGTCTAAAGTAACCTCCTCCCGGGGCTGGGAAGGTGACTCAGTGGTAGAGTGCTTGCCTGGCATGCATGAAGCCCTTGGTTCGATTCCTCAGTACCACATAAATGGAAAAAATGGTGCTGTGGTTCAAGTGGTAGAGCGCTAGCCTTGAGCAAAAGAAGCTCAGGCACAGTGCCCAGGCCCCCTTAACATGGGCCTTGTTGCTGAGGATTTCAGAAAACTTTTTGAGAGGATGATGAATCAATGTATCTTCAAAGCCCCTTTTAAAGCTAAGATATCATTGGAGAAGCCTTCTGAGCTAAGAACATTTGATCTACTCTGTGTATGGGTTTGCATGATCTTCTGTCACCATTTCCAAAGGCAGTCCAAATCTTGTTATATTCAGCCACAATACTCCAAAACGCCCATAACATCGTACCTCAGTACAAATTTATCAACCCAGTGACCCCCCTGTCACGAGGAGCCCTCAGAGAGCTTCCAGGCCACTTGGCCCTCTCTTCAGAGCAAAATCCCTTCCAGAAAATTGATAGTTAAGATGACCACAGCACAGCCTGCTGCTTATGTGCTCAGCATCTTCTCTCAAAGGCTGTCTATGCCCCGCTGCTTCCTAAATACATACTGATTATCACCCTTAATAAACTCAAAGCTAAGGCTTTACATGCATGGATTTCTAAAGTGTACAGAGGCTTCTAAGTTGGAGAGTCTTGGAATAAAATTTAATCCTATTGCTCATCAAGTGTAGAAGTAAAATTCAAAGATTATTCTATGAATTATCTTACTCTGTAAAAATATGCTCATTAGACATTGAAAAGGGACATTGATAGGTCTTTCTAAGGAAGATTAGGTCAGTTTATTTGAATTTTTTATTTTTGGGGGGTATGGTCGTGGGGCCTGAACTCTGGGCCTGGGCACTGTCCCTCAGCTCTTCAGCTCAAGGCTAGCGCTCTACCACTTGAGCCACAGCGCCACTTCCGGCTTTTTTCTTTTTTCTTATGGGGTGCTAAGGAATCAAACCCGGGGCCTCATGCATGCAAGGCAAGCGCTCTACCACTGAGCTACCTTCCCAGCCCCAGTTTATTTGAAATTAATGTGTGCCACAAAGGTTGGCTGATATAGTAGATGATGACAAATTTGTAGAGTTTACCATTAACTTATCTGCAAATTTTAAAATATTCCAAAAATTTACCTCGAAAAATCACATTTTCTTCCCTAGTGTATTAGTCTAGAAGACAAAGGGCAAATGGTTAAGGAATTAGTCCTATGTATATATCAATTACTAAATAAACCATCTGTATGCATTATTCCAACAACACAGTGTGTTTGCTTGGTTATCTCCTCTATGTTAGGCCAAAATGATATGTTTATGACAAAACAGGAAAGATTATTTCAGAACCGTGGAATCGCTTTCAGGTATAGATAATGGATCTGTTTGGAAGGGAAAAGCAAGATCAGTCAGCCCACTGCTACATCACTTAGAAATCTGTCTGTCCTCAATGTGTCTGTTCCCTGCAGCTTCCCTGAGCAGAAGACGCCTGGCTGTCCGGCATGGATGCCATTAGCCTTTCCTCCACATCCCCCGCCACTCAGTTTCAGCCCAACTTCTGCACATCAACCTCTCTTTGCCTATTCTGGGACCCTATCATCATTTGAACTTTCGGTATGTCACATTCTGTGCAGACCATTTATTTTTCCTTTCCATTTGTTACTTAGGTTTACATGTGTTACACATATACCCATCTCTGAAAATTCTACTAGCTGAATTTCAGGGGGTAGTAGTTAACTTTTTCAAACTAACTATTCCCTGTGCTTCTTGTGGATAGAACATCAGGCAGTTGTGGCAGAGATGGAAGCGTCCTGATTCTGACATCTGAGCCTCCCCTTCTCCCCGCTTCAAGCTGCCCTCCTTCCTTCGAAGTTTTCCCAACGCTGACTTTGGTCTACAACTTAGGCTCCCTTAAGAGCTCTGTCTCTTTGAAAACCTTTGTCCCCACTGTGCACCATGAGCACTTTTACAGAGAGAGGGTGTGTACCTATGGCTTATTTCCCCAAGTCACGGGAGTTTTAGGCCCTCCTGAAATCCATAAAAGAATCCTCCCCTTCGCTATCTTCTTTACCACAACCTGCCTGAACTCAAGCAAGTTGACCACTTCCCTCTCTCTCCCTCTCCCTTGTTCTCTCTTTCTCCTTCTCTCTCCCTCTCTTCTACTTGCAGTTTACCTTCTTTTCCTCCTACTAAGCAAGCCATTCTTTTTAAAGATAAACATGTACACTGAACGCTGCAAGAAAGAAAAAGGCAAAGAATGGAAAGATCGGCCTGTCACTTTGGTCCCACAGACTCCTCAGGGCATGTGGCCCACTGTCTGCTTAGTGACACTGCTCATCTCCGTGCCAACCGGCTTTCAACTGCCTCACCCCACCACCTACTTCCAGTTTTTACCTTATTCTTCTTTGCTGTGACAGTGGACACACGAGCAGCTCTCGCTTCTATAAACCCTATCTCCATCAGATGCCGGCACATCCTTGACCCCATTCTTCCACCCAACTCCCAGGCTTCTGGTTCTAGTCTGTGGCTTTTCTCCGTGGTCCGTCCCTCCCTATTACTTTCTAGAAATCTAGTCCACATCCTCCCTCCTCAAGCCTAGAGCCAGTATGCTGTGTTGGCATAGGCTTGTCAGTGTGGTACAATTAAGACCTAATGATTCTCTAGCTGGTGGTGATGGATTATGCCTATAGTACCGTCTATACAGAAAGCTGGGGTAGGAAGGATTGTAGTTTGAGGCGAGACTGCTTAAAAACTTTCACAAGATTTCATCCCAATGGAAGAAACTGTGCCTGGTAGCAGGCACCCATCAGCTCAGCTGTGGGAGGGAGTTTGAAGTAGGAGAATTGTGGTCCAAGCATGAGTCCAGATAAAGAATAAGACTCTTGATCCATGCAAAATAGGGCTGGAGACTTGGTTCAATAGTGGAGCGCCTGCCAGCAACCTAGAGGTCCTGAATTCAAACCCACTTCCAAGAAAAAAAGAAAAAAAATCTAATGACTCCTGAAGGTCTACTTAAGATCAACTAAGTGCCAATTCCAGGGAAAGACCCATGCATCTGTACTTCTATGAGTTGAAACACAGTTCAACATCTCAATAGCCTCCTCTCCATTTCTGCCCTATCCATCTACATGGCCAGTGCATATTTACCCCCACTGTCTCTCCGGGAGACATCTCCAATAATGCCCAAATTGAACAACACATTGTCTTTTCTCTGAGGCCCTTTCCCCATCGTCACTTCTTATATGCCTGCCAGGCATCTTACCAAGCACCTTTCTCCTTTCCTGGAACGATCATGAGATTGTTCTAGTCTCTCCTCTCACCTCCAGTCACTTAAAATGCACTTTCTTAAATGCTTTCCACTTCTTTCAATGGCTCCATGACCACAGCCACTTACTTTAGTTCAGGGTGTTGCTACTTTTTGCTTGGCTTTTTTTTTCTATAGCTTATGTTCTTTTCTTTCAGTATTCCTAATCAAAATAAATAACTGTCAGTTATCCCTAAGCAAAATAGGAAAGCTAACATCCCTCCCTCATGGTCTTTTCTTTTGTCTTCCTATCCCAGTCATCCTTTGCCAATCTTGGTTCTCTATTATTTACTGAAAGGACCTGAGTTTCCAGGCCATATTTTAAGCACTGCTCCAGGATTTCTACTCTGTACCTAGAAGAACAGTTATTCAGTATTTGTTACACAAGTAAATGGAGTTTTTTTTAAAGAATTTAGAAACAGGTTAACGGGAAGGTGCTATTTATTTCCTCACAATCATTTATCTTAATCCTAGACCTAAGCACAAGTAAATGAGAATATATGCATGATCATGAGGACATACGCAAACTGCAACCATCAACGTTCATCAGTACTTTCAAATGCCCCTGAAGTAATTCATGCAAAAAGATAATCTACATTCAAAATTTTGTTCTGAGTTAATCTTTGAAATCAAGAACTGAATAAACAATTTTATATTTTGAACAATTCAGAATTTTAAGACAACTCTCTCAGTTTTACAGAGTACGTTGAATATAATGACCGCATTTGTTCACCCTTCCTCCTTCCAACATACTTCAACTTCCTGGCATACATTTCATTAAAGGGTTCATTAGCTGGCAAGAGGAGTTACACCACTGGACTTCTCCCTTACATATACCACCTTTCAGACAATCTATTTTTGTATATATGCACATAACTCTATGTATGTCATAAGGCAGGCTTGTATTTTAGATCTAGCTTCCACGATTTCCATGCAAAAGATCTATTTTTCTTCTAATAGATGAGAGTAAAACTCTATTATATATATGTACCACATTTGCTTAATCATGTTTTGAAATATGGTTGATATTATGAACATAAGATGACTGGTCACTCTGTCTCAGTTTCCTAATTAATAAAACAAAAAAAAATATCCATTTGCTGTGATCTAATGTCTCAACATATTTAGATTCTTCCAAAATTTACAATATATCCTATTTGTTATGTATAAATGTCAGCTACTTGCTACTCACTTGATTAAAAAAAGAAGAACTGATTTCAGCCTAGAAATGACATATTTCAATTTTCTTTTCTATCAATATAAACTGTCAGAGCTCCAGGGACTTGTTTGCTTTATCCTTTCAAACAGCAGCTTATGTAGTTGGCTTATCTTTGCTAAATGTTCTTCTTTAAGCATGGTAAGAAGAAGAGAAGGATTCTTGATTCAAAAATTATGATGAGAAAAAGAATTGTTCTGAAATGGAGATTCATAAAACCAGACAAGCAGAGCCTTTCTCTATGAGAGACCTGACTGGTGTTGGTGTTCTGGGCTTGCAAACATAGGTACAAACATAGATTCTTCTACAAAAGTAGCTTTGTCTGCAAAAGTATGTGTGCACCAAGAGAGAAACAAGAGTTCTAGGTTATCTGGCACAAACACTTAAAATATTGAGCAGTTCTGTCACTAGAACAAATGTTCATATATTTTTAAAAGCTATATTTAACAGAGCCATTTCTCAAGGTTAGTAGAAATGGCAAATGTTCAAAGAAAGGGGATCTCTTTTCCAGCACTATTTATCCTTCAAGTTGCAGAGAAAAAAAATGATGAAAGAAAGCATCATAAATTAGGACCCTGGAAATGACTTTCAAATGCAATAAGGTCACTTCAACCAAAACAAGGCATTTTCTTTCCGAATAATATTGAGAAAACATATTACAGATCCAACTTGGACATTCATGTGTTTTTGCTGTTTTGAACCATTAAAGGCAAGAATAAGTGGAAAGGTTATGGTGATTACTTTAAATGCATTTAAATAAGGGTTTCTTATACCAATATTCAGTTGGCAATAGTATAACAACTACACATCTATGCTATGACTGTAGAACTGTCATTCAACTAAATCAGCCACGAAAAAAGACCTTAAATTGTTGGCTTGTTTGTATTTCCCAGAATTGGTTGTCACAACGCATTACGAATAATTTCAGTAATTGCCCTGATCTGAGATTTTACAGTCATTTACTTCACACAGTCATAGTAATGTCCACTGTCTCCCAAACCAATTTTTATATTGTCCCTGTGTTCACTGCCCATCCAAAGCCCAGAGGTGGCCAGGCATTGGCCCAGCCGCTCCCTCTCTCCGTACCTTCTATGATGTACACGCACTCCCGGTCAGGGGGGTACTTGCTAGGGTAGTTGGGAGAGGTGAAGACTCCTCCCTCTGCATGCTTTGTCCATGTTCCACACTGCACTGACTTCTGAGTTTCTGAGGTGGTTTGCTTTTCTGTGAAGCCAAACAAAACACAACAAAATTGAAAAGGAACCACCAGCCAATTTCTATAGTACTAAAAGTAGGGAGGACATTCTTCTAACATCCATTAGTAAATTAATTTTGCAATGCTCTCCTGATCAAAACCAATGAATTATATTCTCTATATTCCAGAATATGTAGATATCATGTTAGGAGTATGGGAAATAAGGAAATAAGGACTATGGATATAAGGAAATGCCAAAGTAATTGCAGGTCTTCCACCAACATTATTTTTTTTTCCAGAGAAACACACCTGTTCCTTTCTTCGTTGCTCCAGACAGATGAAGGATGATTAAACTTGCTACAACTGAAACAGAAACAGAAAGATTAGAGAGAAGCAATACACATCCAAACGACCAACTCCTACATCTCTATGAGCACAACCAAATTCAAACAAAATGATACCAAAGCAGCTTATTTTGGTCATTGTTGACTCAGAACTTGCACAAACGAATTCAAAATGTCCAAAGGGGAATCTGAGTGCCCCTTAAGGAAGCACCATCCGGAGTGTATGAGACCCAAACTCCGGATGGAGACCACATTCATTGTCCTCCGCTAGTGCCAAACACTCCACAGCCAGACTTCAAGATGCTCACTGGTATTTAACTACTTTTGGCAAAGGCTTTGGCCAGATCTCCCAAGAAAGACGGGGGGGGGGGGGGGGGGAGAAACAAAAGAGCAAAACAGGGAGTACACCATGAGAAAGACCCCCAGGACAGATCTGAACACACTGCCATGTGGCTGCTTTTTTTCCACATAAGCATGTCAGCAGATGCCGACCAGCGGGGGAGGGGAGGGGAGAGGACCAATGATGGTGCTGTGGGTGGTAAGCAGCCTGAGAACATTGCTTACAACCAGGAAGCAGACCCCAACCAGAGAACTTTCTAGGCTGTGAATTTTGCCCTTTCTAACCTTAACGCTGGTTTTGCTATTCAGGATTATCCGGAAGTGGGCGACGATTTGGGAAAAGTGATTTCTAGAAGCACCCACCAAACCCTTCGTGCCAGTCGGTGGTTTCCCAAGAAACCTGAAAGGCCACTGGGCTCCGAAAGCCTGCTGTACTCCTGGGCTTTCATTTCCTCAACGTGATCAGACAGCCTGAAACTACTACACTCCTGCACTTCCCCCTGCTCTGTTGTTTACTGTGCTGCTCAATTACATAAAAAAGAAGACTCTCCCCTGTGGCAGGTCACACAGATGTGAGAAGAGGGCAGGACACAGTCTAGCATGGTTTCCGAGGGCCAGACGCCCGCCGGGCGGCAGGTGCAACCTAGGCTGCTCCGGACTGGGACTGGGAGAGATGATCCCATCCACTCCCTGCCTCTGCCTGCCTGCCAGACAGACAGACAGACAGGCAGGCAGGCAGGCAGACAGCTCGCCGCTGCCCTGGTTATGCGTCTAACTCACAACAAGAACAAGGGGAAACATCGCAGCCTGCCATCCTACCCCCCACGCGCACGCACACTCACACATGCACGCTCACACACAGGCACACTCATACATGCACACTCACACAGGCACACTCACACACGCACACTCACACAGGCACACTCACACACGCACATGCACACACACATTAGTCAGACTCGCATACTCACATACACTCACACATGCTCACACACACATGCACACTCACACTCGCACATGCACACTTACACACTCATTCGCACATGCACACTCACACATGCACTCACACACACTCACGCGTGCACGTGGCTGCCGACACCCCAGCGCGCCCTGGCTCCCCCTGGCCTCTGCCCCTGGGCTCCCACCGAGCCCACCGGAGCTGGGGGGCCACGCACGCACCTCCGCACCTCCGGGCCGGCCAGGCGGCTCCGCCCCCCCCCCTGCGGCCGCCCCTCGGCCCGCCGGCCCCGCGACACCCCAGGGCAGACAGGAGTGCGAAGGGCAGCCCCGGGTTCAGGGGCGCCCCAAACGCCCACGGAACCGGAAGACCCCGCCCTCGGGGTCCTCGTGTCCCCCACCCTGGACTCCGGGTTCGCCCGAACTGGAACCCCCCTCCTCGCCGCACCCCGCCCCGCGGACTCCGGATCCCCGCGGCGCCAGGCTCCCGCGGGCTGCGGCAGGACGGAAAGTTCTCCCCGGCCTGCGGGGCGGGCGCTGCAGGGTCGGGTCGGGGGTCCCGCGGCGCTGGGCCGGGCGCGAACCCGCGGCCGGGCGGGAAACACTCACTGAGAAGCACACGGCGTCCATAGACCATGTCTGTGCGTTACACCAGAGACTCCGGGCTGCACGAATTCCATCTAGAGTCGGGGTGCGTCGGTGGCGCGGGGGAAGACGAGGGGGTCCCGAGGCGTGGCAATCCGCGAGCCGGGGTGGGCGC